ATATTCGGTTATCTTGAATGAGCTTGATTATTAAAAAATAGAATATAAAACTTGTTTTTGTCCACATTTCTGTTGTGTGTTTTCTTATAAACGATATTTTTTTCACTTTCAATTGATTCATACATACATATGCGCTATGTATAGCAGTGAAAAAATATATTCGGACCATGGATGGCCAATCTCATGCTTTAGCTTTAGAGTTCGAGTTAGGTTAGAGTTTTAAAGTGGGTTAGTTGGAAAAAGTAGTTTACAGAAGGTTTGCCGCATATGTGTAGCGTTCATAGGGATATACGTGGGAATTGATCCCTTCTCGGTCATAAGGATATTATACGAGATTGCTATATGCACCTATGTACATATGTATATGAGGGCCCACAAGGGCAACCCAATGACAGTGGGAGTATTGCGGAGTATGGCTCGTGGACACGGATGAACTCACTTGAATCGCACCTGGTCGACAAAATCGCCGGTAAGGCGACAGGTGTGCGGATTGCAGATGACATTCCGCTGCAGTTGCTCCGCGGCGGCCGTCACCTGGTTTTCGGCATAGAGAGTGGTGCCTGCATGATCCAGGTAAACAGTCTTGTTCCCTGTTCAATGAACAGATAGTTAGATTCGTTATCTGTTTGCGGCGAGTATTTCACCATGGTTCTCCACTTACTTGCCAATCTAGAGAATTCCGCGTCGATTCGCGACTGCTCCGCTGCGGAGAACTCTGGGCGATATGGTGTCATGTTGGGAACTAACTATTCGTGTTGGCTGCAAATCGGGCTTTATTTATTTGCGACACCGGCCTGCATTTGTATCGCCATACCCTTTCCTGGCAAAAGCCGCCGACCGTCTACATTAGCTTTCACGTTCCGTTGAGCATTTGTTATGCTTCTTTTGTAATTTACTCCTTCATATTTTATGAAGCTCAATTTATTCAAATACCGCAGCTACATGTTGCATTTTACTTAATGTCCTTCCTTTGTTTTCCCTGAAATGCATAGGATTTGGCAATAAGCCCTAATATGAATACTCAACCCGTGCGAACTGAAGGGTATTAACTAGTCACTATGCAATTTGATCGACTGCTTAGGCATGTGTTCTGAATAGTGTTGGCCAACAATTGATGTTAGGAAATTTGTTGCTGTTAGCTAATTGGTCAATTTAATAATAATAATTTTCAGAAACAAGCTTATTATTAAAAACATTATCTAAATTAGTTTAAAAGTCTAATTTGTTTGTACATTCAGACGGTATCCAACACTTACAGCTGATTCTTCGATTGACATCGATAGCGGAGGCCGATAACAGCCTGCCTTAGTTTTTTTAAGTTTCTACCTTGTTATTTCACAATTGTAATCAATTTGCCAGCCGTTTAACTGCAAAATGGAGAAATTCGTGCGGGACACGTTGTCCAAATGTCTGGACTGTGTGGTCACGGATCAGATGATGTCGTAGGTACATTGTGCATCCAGATAAATGCGTTTCTCAATGGGCCAATCTCTTCCAGCGCCATACTAAACATCAAAGACGACTATGAATTCGACAGCTACTTTGGCAATTTACTGAGCGAGGACAACGAGGAGCACCGCATGTTCCTGCTAAACTGCCGCCGGATGCTACTGAGTGGCAAACAGCCGCGGAACAGCGGCAAAAATCGCTCGCCCCACAAACAACTTACACCCACATCACCGCCCAAGGATCCCAAGCAAAATATCAGCCAAGGGGCCAAGGGTAAGTCGGGAAAGTATGTGAATCTGTATGCCACCGATGGACGTGTCCAGGGCGACACCATACTGCTTAAGGGCCGGCGACACTGCGACTGCCAGGCGGCCCAGCACAAGCTGATCAACAATTGCCTTGGCTGCGGCCGGATCGTCTGCGGTCAAGAGGGAAGCGGGCCTTGCATGTGCTGCGGCGCTCCCGTCTACACGCCCGAGGAGGAGCAGCAACTGGCCAAGGCGGCGAGGGAGAAGGGCGGCTCCAGAAGCGCCCCCAAGCAAGGCAAAAAGTCCGGTAAGGAGAATGCCAAGGAATCCTCCAAGGAGGCGCTAGACAAGGCCCTGGCCCAAAGGGACCGTCTGCTCGAGTACGACAAGAACAGCGAGAAAAGGACCACAGTTATCGACGATGAGCTGGACTACTTCCAGGTGGGTTTATTCCTATAAATCTGAATTCACGCAATACGATAGAGAAGAACCGATATTCAAATACTTTTCGAGTCATTTCTAGACTAATTACCTACTATTTCTTTAAATTACTTATTGTTTGGTAAAATGCTTTGAATTATATTGAATAATATTTGTAGGAGAACTCCGTGTGGCTGAGCGACGCTGAGCGGGAGAAGTTCCAGAAACTGCACCGAGAGATGGAGGAGATAAAGCACGGTAGTCGCATGAAGCGCAAAATCCGGGTTGACTTTGCTGGCCGGGAGTTGCCGGAGGAACCTACTATCTCCAAGGAGTACGAGCAGCAGGTGATCAGCGAACTGGCGGCCGTTTCCAAGGCTTCCGGTATTGGATCCAACTGGAGTGCATCCTCCGTCACCGGACACTCCGCTTTGACGCTCGCACCCAATTTGGACATGGCCAAGCCGCCGGTCTACAAACCCAGCAAGGAATCTAAGAGTTGGCCAGCTCCCGCAGCAGCCAGCGATGGTCTGGAGAGGATCTACAATCGGGTGCAGGACAAGGAGCTGCTGGAAATGCAGGACATGCGCCAGTGCCTCTCGATGCATCAGCCCTGGGCGTCGCTCCTTGTGGCGGGCATTAAAAAGTGGGTACCGTTGAAGGCCCATTTCCAGATTTTCTATATCTAACCTTATTTTTTTCAACAGACACGAGGGACGAGTGTGGTATAGCGAACACCGTGGTAGGCTGTGGATAGCCTCCACCTCCAAGGAGCCGAACGCCGAAGACATTGCCCAAATGGAGGGCTTTTACAAGGTTCTCTACGGCGGTAAGCTTGAACTTTCAATACTAACTCTCAGGAATACAATATGTTTATATGTAATCGCAGATCCCGATATCAAGTTTCCAAGTCATTATCCCACTAGCAGTCTGCTAGGTTGCGTCCACGTGGACAGTTGCCTGCCGCAAGAGGAGTACCGAGAGGTATATCCCAATGGAGAGTCGGAGAGTCCTTATGTCTTTGTCTGCACCAAGCCAGAGCAGCTGAATATTCTACTGCCCGTTCACGGCGATCACAAGATATGTGAGTTGTTAAGCCATTTCTTTAAATTCGTGTCTTAAATATTATAATTTACAGACGACCTCCCGCTGAAAACTCACACAGCCGCCTGCAAAACGCTACTTAGGGCCAGGGCCAACAAGGGTTAAGTTGGGGGCTCAGTTTCAAACACATTCTTATTAGTTTAATTTTCAAAATTTGAAGCTCCTGGAGTTTCTCAGTAATTAAAGTGGAATGGAATATGTAAAACATATTGCAAAACGCTCGTCTGTTTTGTTTCTGCCACTTTGGCCTATCTTTAACTTCTTTGGAATCCTTAGTTCGAATCCGATCAAGTCTAAAAGCCAAATGTGCGATTGGGAGCTGAATAGTATGCCAAAGCAGAATATAGTTATTATTAGCTACTGAAACACATCATGGCGAAGATTTATTATAAAACATGTCCACTAAACAAATTGTGCATTTCATAAAAATGGAGTAAACGTATCATTTAAAACTATAAAATTATAGTTAAATAGCAAAAGAAATGAATTTAATAAAAATACTTAAATACATGCTTCTTTGAGAACTTATAAGCTTCATAATTAAGAGTAAATTATTTTTTCTTTTTATGACTTTTAAAATAGAATACTCTATAAATTAATAAAAATAGTTTAAAAAAATTAGTATAAATTATTATTTTTCGTGAAAAAAAATGATGCATCAAAGCAACAAGAAAAATAATAGACTTATAAATTCTACATTTTCAATTGGAGAGCATTTAACAGGTCATCAGGCAACAGGCGACCTTATGTCCTATTGGATGTCCAATAAGATTTCCTTTTGGAGAGTCCTATTGGGTGAAAGGATATCCTCTAGCTCAGTTCTATAAAATGAAAATGAAATAGTATATCCTTGAAATCTGTAAGTATACAACGCGTGATATTAGTAGATTTTGAATAGTAATTGATTTTGAAATTAAATAAACATTTTAAAATGATCTAGTTCATTTTATAAATCGTAAAATATTTGAAAAAGTTTAAGGCTTAACTTTGAAAAATGGAAAATAGTTGCTGTTTGCTAATTGGTCAATGAAACATTAAACATTATCTAAAGAAGCTTAAATTTGTGTTTACATTCAGACGGTATCTAACACTTACAGCTGACAGCGATATCGATTGACATCGATATTGTTGGCCGATAACAGCCTCCCTTGATTTTTTAAAGTTTTTACATTGTTATTTCGCAATTGTTATCAATTTGCCAGCCTTTTGACTGCAAAATGGAGAAATTCGTGCAGGACACATTGTCCAAATGTCTGAACTGTGTGGTCACGGATCAGATGATGTCGTAGGTGCATTGTGCATCCAAATAAATGCGTTTCTCAATGGGTCAATCTCTTCCAGCGCCATACTAAACATCAAAGACGACTATGAATTCGACAGCTACTTTGGCAATTTACTGAGCGAGGACAACGAGGAGCACCGCATGTTCCTGCTAAACTGCCGCCGGATGCTACTGAGTGGCAAACAGCCGCGGAACAGCGGCAAAAATCGCTCGCCCCACAAACAACTGACACCCACATCACCGCCCAAGGATCCCAAGCAAAATATCAGTCAAGGGGCCAAGGGTAAGTCGGGAAAGTACGCGAATCTGTATGCCACCGATGGTCGTGTCCAGGGTGACACCATACTGCTCAAGGGCCCAACACAAGCTGATCAACAACTGCATTGGCTGCGGTGGGATCGTCAGGATCAAACAGAAGGGAAGCGGCTTTTGCTTGAGCTGCGACGTCCATTAGTAAATTGCCGCTTTATTGAAAATGAATATCTATGGAGATATTTCTGATGGTTGCATTAATTTAAAGCAGCATTTGTGGACCACAAATATTACTGTTATTAGTGCCGCTATTCACTGGCTAATTTCTGAACCGGTTCACCCTGGCAAGGATATGCGAGAAAAAATCAGTGAGAGAGAGAGAGAAAGAGAGCGCAATGCGCGCGCGTGGTGAGAGAAAGCCCGAGTGGGCGGGGCAGTGGAGGGGGCGTTGTGTTTTGAAACGAATTTGTTCGTGTTGAGATTTTCACACTACAGCAACAACATAGGCACCCAAAGAAATTTTCCACTTGTATTTAAAAATAGGATAAAAGAGTCTTGGGGTAGAAGTGGGGTTTGAACTCGGACCTTTCGCTAAGCTGCTACAAACTGTAAATGTCATCAAAATAGTGCATAAAATGTAATGCACGTGTGCTTTTTTCGGTGTAACAAGGAGCGCGGAGAGCGCAGAAGCCACGTGGCTCTCTCGGGCGTGTTTGTGTTTGTGGCGAAAACAATGTAAGCTGAAAAGGATCAAAAGCGCAAGGCGTTGTTGCAGGACCTAATAGCAGTGCACAAAGCGAAAACGGGAAAGGCAGGAAGAGCGAACGAGCGCTAGTGAAATATGAAAATTGCATTTTCCTCTTCCTGTGTGGGGGTGCTCCATTGAAAATTCCGTCAGCACGAGGAGTATCCTCTTTAACGGCTCTGTGTGCGTCCTGCGGAATTCAGCAGTTGGGTGCAGTCCAGTTCAGTGCCACGAAAAAAGTATTGGAGCATCAATAAGAGTGTACGCCGTCGCCAGTCCGCAGTTTGGCCCTCGGCAGTGAACTTAACTTTTTTTGTTTTAGCGCCTGCTGCAGTTTTTCCCCGTGTGCTTGTGTGAGTGTCGACGCCCTTATGGGTTTTGAGATTTTTCAGCTTGGAAAATCATTTTAAATCAATCCGTTTCGATTCGATTTCAGCAGAGGCAGAGAAAGGAGAAGGCGCTGGTGGAGGAGCAAGTGGCGCCAGTGGTGGAGGTGGCAACGACATCGGTTTAGGCATCGGCATCGAAATGCTCAAGGCTCTGTACGACTTCCAGGCGGTCTATCCCAAGACCATCAGCTTCGATGAGGGCGAGTACTTCATCCTGTACCAGACGTCCGCCCGCCAGCGCAATTGGTGGCAGGTGGTCAGCATGAAAGGCAACATTGGCTTTGTGCCCTCCAATTACGTAATGAAGATTAAGGTAAATACGGCCTTGACTAGTGGCTAAAATAGGTTACTAACCATATGTACATATTGACAGGTGGAGCACGACTTTCTCATCAGCTTTCTGAACTCCTCAATAGAATCTCTGGAGAAGTGTACGGATCATGAGATCAATGGCATCATGTCCAAGGACGAACTACTGGACAGGCTGCGCGAAAAGAAGCACACCATGGAGCGACTGTATGCGGTGGGTAGATTCTAAATTTAACATAATGAATGTTACTCAAGATTCTTTTCCATATTGCAGGAGAGTTCCGAGCGCGACGGCGACTCCTCGCTGTCCTATTCACACAGTTACAGTGACAAGGGTAGCCACCGGCACTCGCATCCCCATCCCACCCAATCCCAGACGCAGCTTCATTCCCAGCACAGGCAGCACAGTCCGCCGCCAGGTGGCAGCGGTGGCTCTCAGCGTTTGGACATGAGCAAGAAGAGCATGTCCAGTCCAGCGGTGGGCTCATCGTGCGGCCTGCCCCAGAATCAGGGCATGATCGAGTCGCCCAGCATGGGCGCAATGCAGTTCCAGGGCAGCAGCTGCACCATCCAGACGCCGCAGCAGCAACAGCCGCTCCCAGCACCGCCAGCACCAGCTCCATCACCATCAGCAGCACCAGCCACACCCACTGCGGCTTCAACAAGCAAAGCGGCCACCGGCGGGGACGTGGCCCAGGACAATAGCATTACGTCAGAACCATCGGAGACGACAACGACCACTACGACGACCAGCGAAGATGTGGTCACCACTTACAAGGAGACCAGCCAAATGAGCACCAGCCAGCAGCACAAGCCGCAAAATGGTAGCACTGCCTCGGCGTCCATTTCCGCATCTGCCTCGGCCTCAGCTGTGCGCAGCAACGGCGGGAACGGCAAGGCCAACGGGAGTACGGCTGCCCTGCACCAGGAGCTACAGCAGGAGGAAGCGGACAGTGCGCCGGACAAGTCGGATGATGCCAGCGTCGTGCAAAGTGACGACGTTTGCCAGGCCAACGGAGACAGTGCGGATAATAGCCAGGCGCTGGACAGCATCGATAGTCCGTCGCATAGACAACGCGGCCTGAGTCTCGCCCGAATCGAGGAGGGAGCCACAGGAGGCGGCCAGCTTAAGGTGGAGTCCTCGGATGTCTATCAGATTGTGGACGCCCTGCGGCGGAACACCAACCTCAGCTTCGATCTCTCCTGCGAGGCGTTGCGCGTGGTGCTAACCAGCCTGGAGCAGCTGTACAATGGGGCCATCAATCCGTACCTGGAGGCGGTGGCCGTCCATGTCACTGGAAAGGTGGCCACGCCCAAGGAGCTGCTAGGCATTACGCACGACGCCAAGCGGTTGCAGTATCTCTTTGCCCAGCTGGCAGACTGCAAGAACGACACCGAGCAACGCACTTGGATGCTCTACGAGGACGAGGAGGACATCATTCAGTTCCTTGAGGAGCTCGTCGAGATTTTGGTGAGGACTAGCTATTGCTGTAACTTTGTACTTCAAAAATTAGTATTAATACATTTGAATCCTAAATATATATTACTTCTTACAGATCAACGCTGATGAGAGCATAAGTTGCTACGAGATGTCCTGCGATCAGTACCAGATGTTCATCAATCTGGTGCAGTACTACCAGATGGAGACGCGCTGGTCTATCAAGCGACTGCTGCTCAAGACCTTTACGGCTGCTTGCCATCTGGACTATATCATAGTAGATATATTGCTTACCTCGGTGCTGCCACTGGAGATTGTAAGCAGAAGCACAGATTGTGCCACCTAAAGGACCTCTAAGTATAACATTACATCCCCATTCAGGTCGAGGACATGAAGACGCACTTCTCTAATCTGGATCGCTTCAAGCAGCTAGTCAAGATGCTCACTATTATCTTCTCACTTGGTCAGCCCATGCCGGTTAATCATCAGGGTAATTTCTATAAACTTTTTACCCAATAGTTGCTTTCTTATGCTTTGGTGATTATTATAGATTATTTGGGCGTCCACTTTGCCAGCTTCCTGCTGGAAATTGTCGAGGGCAATAATCCGGAGGTCTTGGTGGACATGGTCATTGCCTTGATATTGGCATTCAACCAGCAATTTAGCGAACACACCTATAATGTCATCATCGAGGGTATGCAGAATCTGCCATCCGCCAAGGTGTTTACAGAGAAGCTGCTACTTTTGCTCAATCGGGAGGGTGAGTTTTCAGCATTGTACATGTAAAATTCCATTAAATACATATACCATATGTATATACATACGTTAACAAGCCAAGTTGTTAGCCATCCATATCCATTAACGCTTGATCGATCTGTTTTTAAATTGTAACCAGATGATCCCACACGCTTGCTCAAGCACCCCAACGAGCATATGAACACTGTGCTGCGAATGTTTATTGACATATTCAGCCATCCAGATACGGCGGGCATGTTCTACACGAACGACATCAAGGTGCTTATCGATATAGTCGTTCGTCAGCTGTCCGATTTGGATGCCGGCAGTACGGTGAGTCTGCCAGAAGCCCACGCAACTATAGTGCTCCCTACTAAATAGACTTCTATTGGTTCCAGACGCGACCCTGCTATTTGGAGCTGTGCCGACGCATCCTGCGCAATACGAACTATCAGGAGCACCAGCACCGCAAGCATGATCTCATGAAGATCTTCACGCGCATCTTCTGCGAGGAGACCGAGTGCAGTGCCTCCGATCAGCAGCTGGTGCGGGAAATAGCGAACGAGTTTCCGCAGCTGTTCAAGGCCTAAGGCTCATACGATCCGTAAAGCAAAACCACAAAAGCCCAAACCAAAACGAATTCACGGAGGGAAACCAAAATTGTAAAGCGTTGCTAGTGAGGCAAGCCGTTTAAAGCGAGCCAAACCGTAAAATCATAAATAATAATATCCGTTACTCGTAGAGTAAAAGGGTATACTAGATTCGACGAAAAGTATGTAAAAGGTAGGAGGAAGCGTTTCCGACCATATAAAGTATATATATTCTTCATCACGATCAATAGCCAAGTCGATTTGGCTATGTCTGTCTGTCCGTAGTATCGCAAAAACTATAAAAGTTGAGATTAAGCGTGAAGATATCAGAGACATAGACGCAGCGCAAGATTGTTTCTAAATATTTTCACGCACACTTTAATGCCCAGAAACCACCCAAGACTGTCACGCCCACACTTTTGAAAATTTGTTTTCATTTTGTTATTGTTTTCCCCATTTTATCGATATGCCAGAAAAATGTTGAGTAACGGGTATGTGATAGTCGGAGAACTCGACTATAGCGTTCTCTCTTGTTTCAAGTTTGATCAGCGCATTTGTTATGCGTTTGCTTAGCGTCTTGGTCTAGGATAGCCCTCGAAAGTAAAAAATTCAAAAGTCAAAAAGAATGCATTTCGATTCAAACCGGATCGAAACGAAGCACATACGCGACTCTACATATATCTTATGAACATAGTCTGTAAGCAGGACAAATGTACTAGTTGCATGTGGAGTAGATGCAACCTTATAGAGATGATACCCAATAGCAATTACTGCGTATCCGTAAAGAAAGGAAGCTATAGCCTATAGCCTATAGTCTAACACTAAATTATCCCCAGTTTAGGATGATTTCACTAATTTAGAATTTAGCCAGGGACAATTTTAGCCAGAAGCCGAGTCAGAGATTAGCGTCACTTTTAAATTTTTATAGTTATAATTGTCGACTTGTTTGGAATTCAAAATTTTGACAAAACAAAACAGAACAAGAAGGAAGAATCAAAGAACGAATTCTTTCGAAGAATATAATATTTATAGCCTAATTATACACCTATAATGCAAATATACACTCATGGCCTGATGGCATATGCGAATGAAACGTTAATTGCAATCTACAAGTAAACAATTGATATATTAACGATGTATGAGCGCAGTATTTGCAGCTAGCAAAATCCAAATCGATTCGAATGTAACGAGCATATAATGTTAAATTTGTTTATATAATCTATGAGGAGGAGAACTAAACCGAACAGGAAATCATTGACAATTGTTAAAGCTCAAATACTTATTAATTGGAGGCTAAGGAGGCTGGTAATTGAAAAAAAGCCATGCAGGAGCATTGAAATTAAGACACCCATTTGCATTTCTCCCTCACTAAAAGACACAAACACACCGTGGCATTTGCATTTTGGAGGTATAAAGAATTCCGTATGACATTTATACAATTTAATGCGCAGTAAACAGATTCAATTATTTTTTACATTTTTTTTTAATTCATTTTTTTTCTGAACTTATAAGTTAGTTTTTAACCTCCAACAGACGCCACAATTTCTCTATATATCTCTCACTATTTCTCAAGAAAAATAACAACAGAAAATTCTCAGCGGATCCTTTTAGAAAATCCATAATTTTAACATTATTTTAAGGCAGCCATTTTGTATTTGTATGTTATTTAGTTGTTAGATTGGAAGAGGCCTAGGACCTCTCATTTTAGTTTTGATGCAGGAATAATATATTTCTGAATGTACGATCCACTGGGAATAGTTATATCTATATCTATATAAACACATACAGCCATAACAACATAAAGAGTTTTGGACAGATTTTTTGGCCTTTCTTTGTTATTGTTATATAACAGTTATTAAACTTAAAAAGTAAAACAACGAAACTCAAATTAAAATGAACGTTTTAAACCAGATAAGTAATGAAATACTGAAAGTAGGGGCGGAAACCACATTTGATCTTAATTCTTCATTGAAAATTATGGAAATCCAGATATCATTCCACTTTAATTAAAGGCACTTTAACAAAAGCAATACATTTTTTAGGTTTTCACGCCCTCTAGTTAACAAAAAGTGGTTTAGAAAACACTGCCTATAGCTTAGGAAGAAAATTCAACTTCGCTTCAGCCTGAATTTAAACAGTTGTTAGGGCAATTATAAAATTCTGCATTTTGTGGTTTCCTACAATTCTTGTGTGGTTTCCCCCATAAACTGTTGCGATCTAATTTGATTTTAAGTTTTAGAGATTCTCATTGTTATATTGTTTAAGAAACCAATTTTAATCAAATCGTATGAGCATGATATTAAAAGATCTATTCAAAAATGCCTCTATGGATCTAATTTTTAAATTGAAATTGAAATTCAGAAAAGCTGCGCTGATGCATGAACGAATTTAATTTGCAATGTTTCAAAACGAATAGGAGTATTTACAAACCGTTAAAAACTAAAATAAATCAGAAACTAAAATCCAATATTAGCCACGAATTGTACCTTTCGATTTTGAATTTAAAACAACACTCTCAGTATTTGCAAGAAGAAAAAAACAAAAACAATAAGGCAAAGAGTACACGAAGCTGCAATAAAAACAATTAATGTTTAAAAGTACTACGTTAACAAAAACAAACAAGTTTTACGTCAAGAAAATAGAGATAATTTAAAAGATTGTTATCCTCTCATTTTTTTTATCACGAAATAGAGATCCTAAATACAGAAAACCAAACAAATTACAAGTTTTAATAAACGCATTCAAAATGTAACGGAACGAAATTACAATTGTAAGAAACAAAAATAATAAATACAAAAATTCAAGTATACTGTCTACGGGCTTAACATTAATTTTTTTCACAACATTTTCATTTAGCGTAATACTTTATTATACTTATTTAAAAGTTAATGTGCATATGTGCAAATTGATTGCGGAATAATTCTGGTTTGAAACCCGACTTTGTGGTCATCGATGCTTAGCACCACTATAGTGTTCAGTGGTATGTTTTAAGAATTTTTCGGTATATTTTAACGGTTATTGATGGTCACACTCTGTGAGACTGGTCACACCACAAATTTTCCAAGTCTTTCATATTCCGGAAAACAAAACAAAATTAATTAAGTAATTAGAGGAGAACAGTCCAGGAAAATGCACAGGGAATCACGGTGATTAAACGGGAATGTGGAGAAGTATCGAAGCGTAAGAATCGACGGCGACCGTCAGCCCACAATAACACCACCCACGAGCAACAATAACAACAATACAGCTAAAACGGAAGACTACTGCAAATATACACACACCGAGAGAAATCAAAATAAAAAAGCAAAAAGGTACGGAATATGTGTGTGTATGTATAATTATTTGATGAAAAATAGAATTACTGCGTTTTGATATGTCCCGGAGATTTGCGAGTGTGTAATGTGTAATGCATGATTGTGTGGGTGAGCGTGTGTGTAGAGTGCGACAACAACATCATCAGCTATAGACGAACAACAACAACAATGGCAGCTTGACCCCCGCACAGCTGTGAATGCTTACCATCTCTCTTTGGCTCCCACAGCCCCCATTGCGCTCTCTCTCTAATTTCGCATTCGGCTGCCTTGAATTCAAAATCAAACTTCCAATCGCTACATATGTACATATTGACCTCTGTTTCCAGCAATTCACCGTTGGTCGGGAGCCCTAAGCTACGAAAGTGCATATGTGTGGATCTCTATAACTTCCCCCGTTAGTTTAGTTGCAATCTTTTCTTTGTTGTGCTATTGTCATCCCTTTTGCACATCACCCTACCCCGCCTACCCGAAAACTACGCACTTTACTTTTGGCCTGCTTATTGCGTTGTGTTTTCGCTTCTCCCCCCGTTTTGCGTTTCAATTCTTATCAGCACGGACAATTAAATGTGTGCGTGAAAGCACAGTAATAAATTAAATGCTTTAAAATACAAAAACAATTTGCAACCATTTTCTGCCCCTCTCCCATACCAGCTCACACACACGCACACACATGTGCAGTCAATGACCCAGTATGCATGTGTGGGGGGAAGTTGCAAAAACACAAAAACCAAATCCACAAAGATGTCTTCCTAATTTTTGACTTTGATTTTGAGTTTGCTTTCAAACCCTTCGTTTAACCGTTGCATTTGACCTCGTTAAATCTCCTCCTTCAATTGCTTTGGGCATGTGTATTTGTATATTTTGTTGCTAGGCTCCACACGCACACACACTTAGTCAACGGCATGTGTGCAATTTTGAAGGGCATCGCCACTTCGGCTTTTTAGCCACCCCCCTTTCTCTCTTCCCCTTCCATCCCCTCCCCCTATTACCATTTCCCGTTTCATTTCGTTCTCTAGCTTCTTGTTTTTCTGGCTTTGCTATGCCTTTGCTGCATTTGACAGCTGTCGCTGTCCTTGATTATAGCTTTTCTTTGCCTTGCTGTGCTTTGCTTTACTTTAGGGGCTCTCTTTTCGTCCAATTTGTTGTTGCTCGTCGCTTTGTTATTATGATTTTCCTTTGAACCCCATTACACTAAGAGAAAAGAGCAATATAAAAGTTAAAATCTCAAGCTTAAATAGCAAACAAATAAAATAGTAAACATTTTAGATATTACTTACATATATTTGGCAATTTCAAAACGTTTTCCTCTTCGCCTTACAGTATGCAATGTATTCGGCAGACTACATTTTGTTTCTATTCCAAAGTTCTTAATATGTTTTTGCATTCGGAAACTATTTTAATACTTGTCTTACAATTTAATTACATACTTTTAAGCATTTATTAAGTTTCGAGAGCTGGCATCCGCAAATATATTTTGAAATTTGAAATTGAAGCGCAGTTTAGTTTTTCCCGTGTACTGCACTCAGCAATCTCTCTCCGCCTCTCTTCCTCCTCCTCCACCCCCCACCAACCTTCTCTCTTTTGCGCTTGCTCTCCCGATTGTCGCTCTCTACTTTATGCTGGCGTCGCTGCTGCCGTCAGATGCTCGCGTGCTCCAACGTGCGCTGCTTTTCTGCTTTCTGCTTTGGGGGCTCGAAACTCTGTTGCCAGTTAATTTTCAGTAACTAGTTGAAGTAGACAACAAAACGAGCGAAAACGAAAACACACACATATGTGGGCAGATTTATGTGCATAGGGGAGACGGAGGGCCAGAAACAACAAACATCGTCGTCGAAAACCACAACAATAGTTGCAAGTAAATAAAAATGTTCAAAAAATACGACATATATATCTATATGTATATATTGGCGAAAAGTTTAAATTTAAATATTTGATAAGTAGTGTGGTGTGTTTATTTAATGGTGATGCCAATGGTGATATTAAAAATGAAGACATTCATATTTTTTTAAATAGTGCGAAGAAACCCTTCTGCAAGGCACAACAACAAAAGCGTCAAATTGCAGCTGACTTTTATTATTCTGTTTGTTATTGCTGTTGCTGCTGCTGACTTTGTTGCTTGCTGATCTTCCATGTGGAGGCATAAAGTACACACGCACACTTCCACTCAAGAGGCTTGCACAAAAGCAATGCAAGTAACAACAACAACAGCGACGAGAAACAGTATTACCCCGCTTATTGCGTACAGTAAGGCCAATAAAAAGCAACATCAACAGGCACAGTAATGCTCCTTCACACAGAAATCGAAGGAGAATTTCACAATTTGTTAAACTAACGAAGCCAAAGCGTCACAGAAAGACAGAAACGGAAAGACTTGATATGGTGTGGCCATAAGGAGAAAAAGAGATAGGGGGCGATAGGGGAGCCGTGCACACACACACACACACACACACACACTTATAACAACTTGACAAAGTACAAGAGAGTAACAGCAGTAACAGCAGAATTAGCTCATCCCAAAAAGTGGAAGAGTAGTCAAGAGAGAGGGAGAGCCATAGAATGGGGCACAGTGGGGTCAATCGAAATAACCCCAAACATTTATAAACATTATAAAATTATAAATTTAAAAACGCTTATTTTTCCTGTAAACATTTTCATAACTCTGTGAAGCCTAAATCACTTTGATTTACGTAGCTGATCTACTTAAGTTTCTCACAACCCACTGTACATTTGTTGATTTCAAGATGCCTCTCTTGTATTCTCTCTCTGGCTCTCTCTCTCTCTCTGCTCCGTGACTTTTGAGCAACAACATTAAACAGCTGAGCTTGTTTGAAAACAACAGCCACCCCCAACCAACCAACTAGCACCCAAACCCCCGCCCAACGAAATGGGAAACGGAATTGAAATTGAAACGAAATCGCCAAGAGCAAGTGAATGGGGTGAGAATGGAAGAAAGAGATGGGATGTGGGGGGATAGAGCATAACGGTATTCCTGAAAGTATGTAGCATAAGTCCGCTGAGCAAATCCGTTTCGAAGGAAGTCGATTTTTGCAAATGGCAATGACGTATTAGAGAGCGAGAGAGCTGGAGAGAGAGAAAGCAGGATTGGGAGTGGGTGGATTTGGGCGACGACGTCACAGATTGCTGACATAGTTTCCTCATTTAGGCCAAGTATGCATGTGCATGTTCTCTGTGTGTATGTATGTGTACGTGTGCAAAAGCAAGAGATTCGCTGGTGACCTACATAACCATGAATATAAATATATATACGGCATATAGATAACTCAGAAGGTAACTCGACCTCCGCCAGATCATATCCCCTGCCTTGGCGCCACAGTGCCAATTGACTAAGTTGCACTTTTGCGGGATAAATTTACCAGTAATTAAATGTAAATATCCTAGAGAACATATTTTTAAAAGGGATCACATTAAAAATGTCAGAGACACTTTTTAATTTAATGTATTTATTCCTTTAAAAAAATATTTTATTTCATATCTTTAAATGCATTAATTCAGAAAAATTATAAACTAAGAAAACTAAATTGTAATTAAAAATTCGAATCAAATTCCAACACTTCCGATGTCTCTTTGCTTTAGGTGACCTAACCTGACTTATCTGTAATTTGAATAACCTTGCTTATCCTTGTGTCCATTAATTGTTATTGCAGATAGCTCCCGTTTTGCTCTGGACGGTGCCAGTGAGAGTTGACGAATGCGGAGCAGTTCGTGGCTGGCGGAGCAGCAGCTGGGCAACCGGAAGCGTATAGCGGATGTAACTCAATAGCAATATTTAAACGGAACAACATTAAACATACAACATATAGATAACAAAGATAACACCGCCTTAGCCTTAGTGACAAACAACGAGGAGACGACCACTCCAAAACCAAATCAAATCAAACCAAACCAATCAAATCAAAAGCCAGGCAACTACAATCCCAAATAAAGCAACAAAATGTCCTCGCCCAGTGCCGGAAAGCGACGCATGGACAACGATGTGATCAAGCTGATCGAATCGAAGCACGAGGTGACGATCTTGGGAGGCCTCAACGAGTTCCACGTCAAGTTCTTCGGTCCAACGGAGACGCCTTACGAGGGCGGCGTGTGGAAGGTGCGCGTCTACCTGCCCGACAACTATCCCTTCAAGTCACCGAGCATCGGTTTTGTGAACAAGATCTACCATCCGAACATTGACGAGTCCTCTGGGACGGTGTGCCTGGATGTGATCAATCAGGCTTGGACGGCGTTGTACGATCTATCGAACATCTTCGAGTCGTTCTTGCCGCAGCTCCTCACATATCCCAATCCGGTCGATCCGCTCAATCGGGATGCGGCCGCATTGTACCTGCACGAGCCGGAGGAGTATCATCGCAAGGTGGCCGACTATGTGCAGCGGTATGCCACCGAGGACGCGTTGCGGGCGGCGCAGCAGGAGCGGGAGAGCAGCGACAGCGAGTCGAGCATGTCCGACTACAGTGAGGATGAGGCCAGGGACATGGAGTTATAATATCGGTTGGACCGCCAGCCTACGGAACTACCGCTAACACTAACACTGACAACAGCCTAATACAAATGCTTCGAGAATCCATTTTCCTGCCACCCAATCTCCCCAACCAAACACACTCACATACACTTTCACTATACCCCTTCAGTTGGCGATGGAACAACAAGCAACAATATATATATACACACACATATATATATATATATACATTGATAAATAATTGATAAATGATAATTGGATTTTAAGATAGAAAGTGATTCGATGATGGCGTGTGATGATCTGCGCACACACGCACATACATATAAATATATACATAAAATATATATATACACTAATGTAAGCAGCAAGAAAAACAAGATTTAAAAACTCTTAGTTTAGCCATCAGTAGCTGATAACAAAACGGATTGGAGCAACGATCGTAACAGATCATAGCAGATATAGAGACCACAAAAAAAAAAATGGAACGGATAAGAGCAAAAAGGAAACAAACAGAATAGAAACACAAACAAACAAAACCGATAAAATACAGATAACAAAGATGAAAGCATAGATGCAAGCGCAATTTAAATGGTTATAGTAAGTGCACATGCAATGCGAAATATGATGTGAAATTGCTTTGGCCTTGATCTGGCATTAAACAGACTTCGATGCTCGTTCTTTAGAGTTTAGCAATGGAGTAACAAGTTGATAGAAAACGTATCGTAAACACAAGTACCACCATCAAACATAAGTTTTTGGGAAGCCCTTACCACATAAATACCACACGACGATAACCCAATATCCAATTTACAAACTAGAGGAACGGAAATCTCTTCATTTTCCGCTTAAATCGATCAACAAATTGCGGATTATTTGTTCTCATATGTACTTTATATGTTTGCCTTGTTTTGTTCTGTTTAATTGTAGCCGTGAATTTTAATTGTCTGCATATATGTGTGAAGAAATTTGTACACCGCAGAAAATCATCTGACTTAGCAGTACTTTCCCTGCCTAAAAAAATATCAAAAGATAAATACGATCGATACTATATAAAACGAAATAGAAAGCCAAGATAAATCCTAAAGGAAACGCTTGGAGACGATTGCGTGGAACAGACAAAATAATCGTTGCAGTTCTTTTTCTTGTTAATTAATCTTATTATACGGTTATTATGTAATATTTTAAAATAGGATTCTAATTGATCGTGTAATTAAATGCAATATTTCTTATGTCTAACTTATGTCACCCGTGTTTAAGCCAAAATCATATATTTTTTTATTATAATACATTTTGCCTTTACACCACATTTGCTTCATTTATCGTTCTCTCTCGCTCTCTCTATGTCATCTCTCTCCCTCGTTCTCGCTTTTAAAATTGTTAATCAAATTGGAAAATTGGAGAAAACCCGGTGGAATGAAATTTGAAAGAGGGTGGGATTTTTAGAAGGCGTGTTCTTAAGTGAAATCAAATGAAAGTGCAGATATTTAGACATTACCGATCTACTGTACTATGTACTAACACTACAACAATACTAATGCCTAAGTCTAACAGCAGAATTAATGAGTAATCCGATAGTTGTATATAAGTGACACACACAGACACACACACTCAACCGATATCTATCAGGATACACAATAATTAAAACGTAATTCAAGCAATCGAATTCAGATGGAAATGAAACCCCATGGACGAGAGGGGACAAAAAATGAGTAAAGAAATAAAAAAAAAATAAAAAAAAAACATGTTACAAACAAGTGAAATCTAACAAATAAAAAAGGAAACGAAAGAAAAGAAAGTTACGCCCGTTTCTTGGCCTTGTTTTGTCAATAGTTGGTTATTCGCCTGGTACCGCCCCATACATCCATTGGGCCAGTTTGCGCCTTGGCTTCTCTGCTCCCTACCTAGTCCAACTGACAATGCCTGCGGATTGTCAACGCCTTGGAAACTGGTGGAAAGTGCCACGTTTGTTGATTCCTTCAGCGCCTTTTTCCCTTTTGTTGTGGCCCAAGGGCCGAGGGACACGGTTTAACGCTCCTGCGTGGAGTTAATCGGGCAATCAAAACAACAACAACAGCAGCTAAAGCGCCCAGGAGCCAGCAGAACATGGGTATCTACTTTAAAGATCTATAAACAAAAACCAACAACATTCCGTGTCTCTCGTTGTGTGTGTGTGTGTGTGTGTGTGCACTCGTTGCTTTTTTGCCTGTGTGTGCAGTAATTACTCCTGGCGTTTCGACAATTGCTGTAGCATACTTTGCAGCGCACCCACAAAGTGCCCCCATTTTGCGAAATAGCTGAACGCAAGTTGTTTGTCGGCACTGCAGGCTAAATTCCATTTGAGGTTTACAAAACAAAGAGGACAGAGTCGCTTCAAAAACTCAAGTCCATTGAAATTCACGGAGAAGGCTATAAAGTGGGTGGCACGTCCATCTGTGATGTAATGTAGGTATATTGCGTCCACATGGAAAAGCCAATACCTTCACCTTCCAACTTGCCTGCAATGTATAGAGAATCTTGGCAATGTATTAGTAAAAATCAATAGAAAATGGTTATTTACTTAATGCACTAGTAACGGTGTCAGTTTTTGATATGCACCTGCCATTGGATATTGGTTCCCAATGAAGAAATATAACCCATATACAAACCATAACCAACCCTACATTTTGAATTTTACGATTTAAAAATGAGTTTCAAATTAGAAAGTTGTAAAACTCCCGGAGTAGATCCCTTCGCTTGGCTTGCCAATCGCGACTGAAGCACACGGCTAGCAATTTGAGGGATTGGCCAAAAGAACAGCCAAAGACTAAGCCCGTCCATGTCCTCAGTCATATGTAATTGGGGGTATGTGTTGCATTTATTTGAGCGGAGGCGCCGGTTGCAATCCGTTGATGGACTGCCAGGTCCAAAGATGTTTGATTTATTTGCCCCATCAGAGGTGGTCGCTCAAGTTTGGGTGCGCCCATATACTGGTTTGTGTGGCAACCGGGCAACCGATATCAACAAATTACACGAAACCGTATGCCGTACATGGGAACATGGGTCTAGACAGACTGTTCTCGAGGGCCCGATACCAGCACGCTTCCCTGTTTCCATTTCCAAGACCCAGTCCCCCAATGGAGCAAATGAAAATGCTAATAAAATTATAGTGTCTGGGGCGCAGGCGGTCATAAACAGGCAGATGGATAGACATAGACAGACGGGCCCCCATATGCTCCTTCACTTATATGGGTAATCACAAGATAATAACATTTTTTCTCAAAGGAGGCACGACACAACAAAACGAGGCAGGGAGGAGTTTGGTGGTAGAGTAGATTGAAATCAAAGTGAGCACAAAGGTAAATGAGTACACTTCAAATAAAAATATCTTACACACATCTACTGCGCCGAAACTGGATTAATAATAACTATAATAAAAGTCCAATCGTTGTGAGCTTCGGTATGCGATTATGTGAGCTATTTATAACAACTATATGATCACTGCTTACTTCTGCACCAATGGGTGAAGTTGAGTGCCCTGCTTTTGGTTTCTCTCAGTGCATTTGAATCGAAATAGCCGGCCGAAACAATTTATGGGCCGAATGTGAACGCTATTACCCATTTGGTGGGCCATGAATGGGCTATGGACGGTGCAGGCGAGGCGCATTTGCATTTCAGGCAAATGCCTTTTGTTTGCTCTGTTCCACATCCGCCTGCTTGAAGGGCTTTTCTGGCTAAGCTTGGCAAGAAGGCGGAGTTTATTTCGGCGGCAGAGTCGGGGGTGAGCGTGTCGACTTTGACACATAAAGTAGCAGCCCCATACAAAGGCAGAGACGGAGTCGGAGACGGAGACACGCACCCATGTAAAGCTGAGCATTTTTTTTTTGACTGCAGGAAAGGCGGGCGCTGGCAAGGGTCGTTCGCCAACACCGACACCCAATCGGGATGGCGGGGCAACGGCTGGTGGCGGTGGGAGTGGTGCTGGTGCTGGTGCTGGTGGTGGTGGTGGTGCATCGGCACCCACAGCAACTGGAGGCACCACTGGCGTCGGTAGATCCACACTACATGCCAACAAAACGATACTGAAAACGGTATCCGTGTTCCTTGCCAGCGGCAAGCGCAACTCGAGCAACCAGCAGTCGAAAGCCGCCGCGGCTGCTTTGCAGAACAAACGGCAACAGCGGCAACGGAGGATGGATGAGCTGAGCGGCAAAGTGAATCCCAAGCTGTTGGACAGCCTGCGAAAGAAGACGCGCTTTACCAAGTGAGTGAAATATACATACGCTGCATACATATACAGTGCATCAGTGCATCATGAACTCTACTTGCCACTTGGCGCCCGAACAGGGACGAGCTGGACGCCCTGTGCCGCATCTACCGCAAGCTGGTGTCCAACTGTCAGTATGCGGCCAAGACGCTGGCCTCCAGCTCCTCGAGTGCAGCTATTGCCAAGCCACATGCCGCCGTGGAGGTGAGTATGCACAGATGCACAACCACGCAATGCGTTTTACGCCATTCTCCATAGGGCATCGATCGCATTGTGTTCCGCGAACTGTTGCACAGCACTTTCGACATCGTCACCGAGGAGATCCTCATGGAGCGCATCTTCTGCAGCTGGGACAAGGCCCACGAGGGCTTGCCCCTTCGTCTCGAGGGCTGGCTCATTGGACTTTCAACATTCCTGCGCGGCACTGCGGCGGAACGGGCCGCATTTTGCTTCCGGGTTTACGACCTGAATACGGATGGATTCATTACCAAGGATGAAATGTTCACGCTGCTGAGAAACTGTCTGATAAAGCAGCCGCAGGACGAAGATCCCGACGAGGGCGTCAAGGATCTAGTCGAGATTGTGCTGAAGAAGTTCGACCTGGATAAGGATGGCAAGGTGGGTGGATCCTGCTGTAAGAGCCCATCGAGGTTTAATGATCTGGTTTTCAGGTATCCCTGGAAGACTTTATGGGCACGGTCACAGCTGAACCATTGCTAATCGAGGCCTTTGGCCAGTGTCTTCCCACAGATAGCGCAGTGGTTTCCTTCTTCTCAACGCTGCAGGTGTGATCAGCATCTTAATACCTTACAACTTGTTAAACTAATCTACCAATAAAATGTAACATAATATTAGTGAATATTTATTAATGGTTCGAATTTGTTGGATGGTGCTGAATGAAATATTACATCAGTTTTAGGAACTAATCTGCAGCTCAGAAACTATCTCAGAAGTCTTAAGTAAATTGGTGACCCAAAATTGATTGTCATTGCGAAATAAATAAATTGTCATTGCGAATTTATTAAAAGGTTTTTAAGCCAATCACTTACACGATAAACGATAATGCATGACACCTGAACTGGTGAGCGCATTAAATAGCTAGACTTAAAGCGGGTTCGATTCGCGGATGCTGTTAAGACTAATTGCGGTGGCCAGTTGACTCGGTAGTGACCCCGACCCACGACTGGGGTGCAATTTGCAGTCGCAAACCTGTAATTGCCACGTATCCACATTTGGATCATTCCCGAGATGGAGGCGCGGGTTGAGATGGATGCCGCGGATAAGCCGTCAAGGCGTCATATTTATGCAAGCCTCGGGTGAAACAATAAGCCAGCCAGGCAGTCAGCCAGTCAGTCAGTCAGCCAGTCAGTCAGTCAGTCAGTCAACCGGTCTGGTAATGTGAGCTAATTTATTCGATTAGCCAGCCGCATCTACAGCAGAACAACTATAACCGCATAGATACAGATACATAAGCCGACTAGCGAATTGTCACGAATCTTGTTTATCTATTGAATGCATTCATGCAACGCAACGCCCAAAGCCTGTTCTATTCGGAATTGTTTTGTTTCATTGGGTTACGCTACGCCTCCGTCTCCGTCTCCCGCTCCCCGGGCACCCGATATCTAGATGGCGTCCATACCGATCTGGCGAGTGGAAGGTGGACCGGATCGGATAGACGACGAACCGGAGTGACTAAAAGGTGACCAAGTTCGAGTAGCCGGAAAGGAAAATGCGCCCTTGATGGAGATAAAGTTAATAAGCGTTTGGTTCCCATTATTCAAATTATGCTCGAGTGTCACCCATAAGAAATAAATGTATGTACCTTACTTTTGAAATCTAAGCAAAGTAACACTAATGCCCTTTACCATTTATAAATTACAGATAATGTAACGATCAGTCTATCAATCTGACAGCTTTTTAAAATCTCTATTCGATTTAATAGCTTAAGTCTATTTATTCATTTGTGTAGTGAGCTGTAAAATATATATGCAATGCCCGTTGTTTATGAATGATTAAGGTTGCAAACCTTTAGAGAAAACATGAAGCCTCGTTTAACCTGGGCAAATAAATCAATATATAGAAACGCTAGCTGGCGATTACGGATGATCGGTCAGCTACTAATACCACTGATGAAATGAGCTTATATACAATTGGCACCTTTATACATGTATTACCAACAGCCTTGGGAATCCCACTCCTATCTTCTTAAGTTTGGGTTCTACTGGGACGATATGGTATGGGTTCAGCGCCATACTTCGACCCAATCCTCCAACTGAAAAGTGATTCATCATGCTGAGCCGACAACTTGCTGTGCAAATAGTAAGGACCACTATCTAATCGCAATCTAATTCGAATGTCTCAGGGGTCACGTAGTGCACAGTTAGGAAAACGCATACCCATTGAATTTAAAATAATGCTAGCAAAGGTGTTAGGATTTCTGTAATACAATCTTTGTATAACATAATACCTTATATTCAAGTGTGTTGGCAAGTGGTGTACATAGGTTTCGGTTTCCTGAACTTCGGTGCGACCAAAGATCATCCCGCAGTGCTTATCTCCGCATACGATTTGGTCAAAAAAAGCGATGAAGAGAATTAGGTGCTCTGGGCATCTAACTAAAAGCGTATATTGTTCAGGCGAAGCTTTTGTGTTATATCGGCGACGTGCATCTGACACTTTGGCACCTTTTCCACCTTTGGCTTTGGCACCGCATCTCTGTATCTCATCTGCCTAAGTATCTGAGCGATATGGAGCCAGACTCCCTCTGGCTGTGTGTATTTATACATGACACATATGTGACTAGGGTATTATTATCGGACCCCGATTAACAAACAGGCGGCTGCTATCTAACAAAAAAACATGAACGTATGCATACCATACCACTCATATGGAAACCGGGTGAACCGTTGCACTCCACGGATGTCGTTCCATATAGATCGGATCGGATTGTAATGGAATAAATCGGAATGGCAGTGCCATTGAACATATGTCGTAGTCGTGTTTATAGAACGCTCTGCCTGCGCCGCTGTCTCGGTCGACGTCGCTGCAAGCAGCGTGTATCTACGAGTAGTGTGTTGTACAAGTACCATATAGTATCTGAAAACCCCTGCCCTGGTGTGTGTGAGTAGATTTGAAATAATAACTTATAAGACCGGCGTGGCGGTACGGTGCGTAGTGTTTACTTTGCTGAATATTCAGTCCGTATTCGTTAACAGCCGCTAACGGTTTGCTCCGGCTGCTCCGATCCCTTCCTATATACGTATATATATTTACATATATACACACGATCCTCGCAGAATATAATCCCCTACAGGAAACATGTCGAAAGTGACGCAAAGGTGAGTAATCACCGAAACAGAGAGCTACCAGTTGGTATCAAATCAAAAAAACTTAAGAGAGTGTGAAAACGAATCATCTAACATATCTTATCAATGGAACTATGGAACAGCGTGTAGTGCAATATTTTAGTCGCCGGCGATAAGATCAGACCTTATCGGTAAAGGTCTACAATCAAAGACTGGGAGCAGGGTTCAATGAGTACCAAATGTATGTTATGTACGTTACTCAGCTCGATGGGATAATTGGCGGCCCATTATTATCCCATTATAGATCAATTGGCCAATGCCAAAAACCATCCATATGGATGATGATCGCGGCAACCTTTGACCATTGTGCAATCTGGATCAGCTCACTTAAGCGCTATTCACCTTCGTCCGACTTAGTTTAACTATATCAAATTGCCCCGCAAACCCTGACCAAAGATTGTGTTCAGCCATTGACCATCAACCATGACTGTGCAAGGATCATTTGGAATTTACGGGGGGATTATGGGAAAAATGGTTTATATGGACCTGGAAGCTGTGAGTGACAAAGTTTCAAGTTCAAAAAATCGGAAAATCGCAAATCGGAAATATTTCTAAATGGTAAATGGCTGAGCAACTTGTGATGAATGACCTGGTTCGAGTCCAAAAAAACCCATATCATCATCACCAATAGTGGTTGTGCATTTGTTTGGAACCATCTAGGTGGGCTGTTCGGCACGATTTTGGTCCGATTCCGATTGTCGGACTATAAATAGCATTCCAGAAGTGCGGCGATAAGAGCGGAACGGGGCGATAGAAAGATAGAAAGTGCAGGGGGCGAGAGCGAGAGAAGCCGGGGCCATGGTCAGGGCTGGCCTAGTCGATGGCACGATCTGGTAGTCTACTATATACTGTACTACAGTATGCTATACTGGGCTGATCGCGATACGTAACACATTGAAACAATACCAAAAAGCTGGAAACAGTTTCGGCATTATCAAAATCTCACGCAGCTGCAGTCAGCAATATAATTACAGAACATGAGTTGGGAGAAAAAACGCTGACCCAAGATGGAACTACCCATTCCCGCCCTCTTTTGCCGGCGCTATTTCAGTACTTCCGACAACAAACACCGCACCACATTACATGACATCATGGATAAATAACTGAAATGTGTTGTGAAAGTGCTCAAATAATACTATTCATAAAACCGATTGGTGCTTTAAAGTGTATTTTGTAGTTGGGGAAAGAGCTCAGAAGTTTCCGAAAATATGCAAACCACTGTTTCTATGAGCGGCTAGTTTCTCCCAGTGTAGCGACAAAAATTGAGGATGGCAAAGGTCATCCGATTGTCGCTGGCTGTAAGATAAGGCACACACGCACACTCGCCATCGCAAATGACTGTGGGTCATGCAAGAGTTGGCTCCGGATTAATCCCATTTTGACTCCTCTTCACTCCACTTGATAATTATGATGCCCAGATGCCCAGATGCCCAGATGCCCAGATGCCCAGATGCCTAGCTGCCCAGATCAAAAGTCAATGTAGCAAAAGCACGCACTTTCCACAAAACCATGTAATCCACGAGGTAGAGCTCAACTAAACAAGCTCGCCCACATTTACATCACATAGCGCACATTAGGGTTAATCGCGTCTATGTGGAAAAGAAAACCCCATGTTAAATAGTAATACGTATTTCTTGCAGTGCTGGCGACGGCAACAACGCCAACAGCAATGACATCTACAACATCGTCCTGCTGGTGGTGGACATCTTGATGCTGATCGTCAAGTTCTGGATCACCATCGTGGAAGCCGTCGTGGGACTCTTCCGTCCCGCGCCGCTCGATGATGTCAGGGGCAAGGTGGTCCTGATCACCGGCACTGGGCACGGCATGGGCAAGCAGATGGCCCTGCAGTACTCCAAGCTGGGCGCCACCATCCTCTGCTGGGATGTTAACGAGCAGACCAACAACCAGACCGTCAAGGAGATCAAGAATAGCGGAGGCAAGGCCTTCGGCTACGTCTGCAATGTGACCAAGCGCGAGGAGCTGATCGAACTGGCCCAAAAGGTGCGCAAGGAGCACGGATTCATCCACGTGGTGGTCAACAATGCCGGCATCATGCCCTGCCATCCGCTGCTGGAGCACACCGAGAACGAGATCCGTTTGATGTACGACATCAATGTGCTCTCCCACTTCTGGGTAAGCAACTTTGAGTGTTACTTTATTGATACTTAATGCAGATTACTAAGATAACTAAGATTTTGATCTCCTCCTCCCTTCACAGATCATCCAGTGCTTCCTGCCCGAGATGATTGAGCGAAACGAGGGCAGCATTGTGGCCCTATCCTCCTGCGCCGGACTCTTTGGTCTGGTCAACCTGGTGCCCTATTGCGGCACCAAGTTCGCCGTCCGTGGCTACATGTCCGCCCTCACCGAGGAGCTGCGTCAGAAGAACCCCCAGAACAATGTAAGTACCGCCTCAATGCCTTTTAGTAGCATTTATTGGTCCATTATAAGCAGGTTGGAGTCCAATTAAAAGGTTATTAGGTAGTAAAGAGAAGC